GAGTTTTTTTCTCCTGGAACTGACCTTGTTCTGGAGCTCAGAAGGTTCTTATTCCAGGGTCCACTTTATCTTGCAGAGTGTCAGCCCTTAGTCAGCAACGCTGGCTCCATTACAGGCAGTCCTTGACTTCCGACCACAACGTTTATGTTGCTAAGGGAGACATTTCTTAAGTGAACTTGGCCTCATTGTATGACCTTTCTTGCCACAATGGTTAAGTGAATCACCGCAGTTGTTAAATTAGCAACGCGGTTGTTAAACGAATCTGGGTTCCCCGTTGACGTTGCTTGCCAGAAGGTCACAAAAGTGGATCTCAGGAGCCGCGGGGAGGTTGGCACCGTCATAAATGGGAATCAGTTGTCAAGCATCTGAATGTAAATCACACGACCGACTGCCTCTAAAGTGTGAAAAATGGGTCGTCTCGCTTCTTTCAGGGTGTTGTAACTTCGAACGGTACACTAAACAAACTGTTGTACGCCGAGGAGGAGTGCAAAGGGGGACTTGGAAAAAAAGTGTGCATTGCACCCAGCGCTAAGCTAAGCCTTTTCTCCTCGGAAAACAATGAACATGAAAGGAGAAACGTGGATCGAAGGCTTTGCTTTTCCCCAAAGAAATGATCGATGGGAGCTAAGCAGGTTTTCCCTCCGTGACCCAGCACCCCTGATGGGGTCCATTAACACCCCCCACCCTGCCCCAGACAAGGTTTGACACCCTCCTGGATTGCAGCAACGCCACAGATGTTGGCTTATTGAATTTTTCTTCCTCCTGGGCGCTCCTGGTGACACCCATCATGTGCGGAGGAGACACCTTCTGCCTCCTCTTGCGTGCTCCCTAAGCAACGTCATCCGGTGTCTTTCAGAAGCGGCTCCTTTGCTTTGATGAGCCGCTAAATGAATTATAAATCAAAGGCGAGTATCAGGGGAGTGGCCTCCGCGGCTCCATTACGGGCAACCAGGCACAATCTCGGCTTGGCTCACGCTATTAACTCGCTATTGGCTAGAGGTCCCCAATTGCTTAAATGGCTTGAATTATCTCAGGCCTCTTATCTCTGCTACCCGCACACACACACACACACCACATCCCTCCGGCAATTACCGGCAGATCAGGCCACGGTTTGAAAAGAGCCGGCTTGTTTTGAGTGGGCAAACCAGGGGGGGTGCTACTGTAAGGTACCCAGATGCCAGTGCAAACAGGAGGAATGTAACTTAGGGGTAGGATAGATAGAATTCTTTATTGGCCAAGTGTGATTGGACACACCAGGAATTTGTCTTGGTGAAAATGCTCTCAGTGTCCATAAAGATGCATTCATCAAGAGTCAAGAATCATCAGGTACAACACTTAATGATAGTCATGGGGTACAAGCAGCAATCAAATCATTCTAGAAAACAGTCCATATAAATCGTAAGGATGCAAGCGACAAAGTTACAGTCACATAGTCACAAACGGGAGGGGATAGGCGATAAGGAGCGATGAGAAGGTTAACAGGAATAGCAGTGCAGACTTCTGTAGATATTTTCACAGCCCTCTTTTTGACTCAGGGTGCAGGATACAGGTCCTCCATGGAAGGCAAGTCGGTAGCCATTGTTTTTTTCTGCAGTCCTAAGTATCCTCTGGAGTCTGTGTCTGTCCTGTTGGGTTGCAGAGCCAAACCAGACAGTTATTTGGTCCACATTGCGCCTGGTTTTCTCACTGAATAATGCCCGGGCAATCGGACATACTCTCAGAAATGCTCCTTAACAGCTTCACCGGGTTGTTTTATTGTTATAAAACGAATATTGATTATTATCTTTCCTTTCGGGAGCGGAGCAGATTCCACCATGCTTCTTTGCTCTTATTTGTATGGGAAGCCCTGTCTTGTATTTCCTTGGGAAGGTGCTCCCTCCTCCGATCTCTCTCTTCCTTATCTGGATTGCAACCCCTTCCTCTCCACACCCCACCATGGATTCACGTCAGATCACGCAGCCGGCTAAGCCAGATATACGATGGAGAATTTGTAATTCTCCGTGTGAATCAGGCCCTAACCCCGAAGGTTTAATACGATTTCTTTGCTGAGACAGGGCACATTCTACAAACAAAGCCATTGTGTTTTGTTAATCTCGGTCAGGGGTCTCCAACCTTGGCAACTTTAAGACTTGTGGGACTCCACAACTCCCAGAATTCTTCTGCCAGATGGCTAGTGGAGGAAGTCTGGGAGTTGAAGTCCACAAGAGGTCCATGGTGGCAGAGGAAGTCTGGGAGTTGAAGTCCACAAGAGGTCCATGGTGGTGGAGGAATTCTGGGAGTTGAAGTCCCCAAGAGGTCCATGGTGGCGGAGGAAGTCTGGGAGTTGAAGTCCACAAGAGGTCCATGGTGGCGGAGGAATTCTGGGAGTTGAAGTCCCCAAGAGGTCCATGGTGGCGGAGGAAGTCTGGGAGTTGAAGTCCACAAGAGGTCCATGGTGGCAGAGGAATTCTGGGAGTTGAAGTCCCCAAGAGGTCCATGCTGGCAGAGGAAGTCTGGGAGTTGAAGTCCACAAGAGGTCCATGGTGGCGGAGGAATTCTGGGAGTTGAAGTCCACAAGGGGTCCATGGTGGTAGAGGAATTCTGGGAGTTGAAGTCCACAAGAGGTCCATGGTGGCAGAGGAAGTCTGGGAGTTGAAGTCCACAAGAGGTCCATGGTGGCAGAGGAATTCTGGGAGTTGAAGTCCACAAGAGGTCCATGGTGGCGGAGGAAGTCTGGGAGTTGAAGTCCACAAGAGGTCCATGCTGGCGGAGGAATTCTGGGAGTTGAAGTCCACAAGTCTTAAAGTTGCCAACTTTGGAGACCCCTTGCTCTAGAACAGGGGTGTCAAACTCATGGCCCAAGGGCGGATGTGTCACGTGCTGGCCACGCCCACCCCCGTTTTGGCGAAGGGGAGAAAAGTCGCAATATGTCACCTGACAACAACATGAGGCTGCAAGTTTGACACCCTTGCCCTAGAACATCAGCGTGGTATTTCCCTCCAAACGACAACCTTGTGAGGTAGGCTTTGGTTGAGACAAGGACTGGCTCACAGTCATCCAGTCATTTGCAGGGATGAATTGGGGTCATTTAAATCTGTCCATTGCTGGTCCAGCACTAACCACTACACCACACTGGAGGGTTTGGGGGTTTTTTTTGGAGATAAGTATGCTTTTGATGAATTTATGGACTTAATTATAATGTTCTGTGTCTGGGTTTGGTTTAGTATGCGTACTTCATGAACTCAGCCGTGGAGGTGTGTAAACCATGGTTTAAGTAAACCAAGTCCGACTGATGGTAGCTTGTTGAAGAAGCTGTGGTTAAAAGAAAACCATGGCATAGTTTGTGATGCTTTTAGCATATACAGATATAATAGATCAACAGTTCCTAAATACTAAAATAAAGATGAGAAGGTAGTTATCTCTTCATTTTTTTTTAAAAAAAAAGCACCATTACCATAATGACAAAGTTTTCTGTTCAAAATATATATCTACATCTAAATGCATTATTGAGCTAGCTAGAGCGTGTTCAAAAATAGTAATTAAAATAGGAGTTGTCATTTAGATCCTTGGTGGCTGTTTTTTTTTTTTAAGAGCAAAATAACATCAGAAAATCTGGATCGATGCTCAACCAAGCAAAATCCGAGACTGTTTTCTTTTATTTTTTTAAATTCAAATAGCATTTTTAAATAGACCTGTTTTTGTTTTTGTGATTATTGTTTTTCTGCATTTAAAGGCAAACCTTTTGTCTGAACAGAACCTGTTTGGCACAACATTTTTGAAATGGGCGTAAAGCTGTTTGCTGATATGGGTTGGGAATGGCTTTTGATTTTTAGTTTTCTGTCTCACTCTGTGCCTTTTGCTTTTAACCCTTGGGGACTGTCCATTTTAAAGAAAAGCTGCTCAGAAGGAAACTGTTCTAATTCTACTCTATTCTACTCTTCATTCCAATACATTCTCTTCTCTTCTCTTCTCTTCTCTTCTCTTCTCTTCTCTTCTCTTCTCTTCTCTTCTCTTCTCTTCTCTTCTCTTCTCTTCCCTTCCCTTCCCTTCCCTTCCCTTCCCTTCCCTTCCCTTCCCTTCCATTCTATTTGCACCAAGACAAATTCCTTGTGGGTCCAATCACACTTGGCCAATAAAGAATCCTATTCTATCCTATCCTATCCTATCCTATCCTATCCTATCCTATTCTACTCTACTCTACTCTACTCTATTTGCACCAAGACAAATTCCTTGTGGGTCCAATCATACTTGCCCAATAAAAAATTCTATCCTGTTCTATTCTGTTCTATGCTATGCTATGCTATGCTATGCTATGCTATGCTATGCTATTTGCACCAAGACAAATTCCTTGTGGGTCCAATCACACTTGCCCAATAAAAAATCCTATCCTGTTCTATTCTGTTCTATGCTATGCTATGCTATGCTATGCT